AGAGAGAGAGAGAGAGAGAGAGAGAGAGAGAGAGAGAGAGAGAGAGAGAGACGTTTTGGCATTCGTCATTTTTTCCAAGGATGATCTTGCGCCTATTTTATTATAATAACGATAATAGTAATAATTCTTCGTTCGCAGAGGAGAATATTTCTCCTGCGAAATAGAGTCTATTATAAGATTTAGAAGAATTAAAGATAAAGATGATTTGTGGTTTCTGCTGTGGCCGATGATACAAACTCTGGCAGAAAAAGGTTTGTCACATTTTTAACATTTCAAAGCTTCACTTCCAGGGATGTCTTATTCGCGATGCCTCACATATTAATGATTTGCTGCTCATTGTGACTGCTGCTCTTCTACCGGATCGGTTAGGAGCTATGCTCTCCAATTTTTAAAGTATTTTTATGTTGAAGTCCCTCGGAAATATTTTCATGGTGTCTTTGTACGATTTTTTAGCCGCGTCAACCTTACGCATACAATTACGCTTCCCTGAGCACAGTTCCGAATAGAATAAGCCCTACTGCCTTTGGGATTCAGGCATTCTTACAACATGATCAGGCCAGCGAAGTTGAGTCCTTTTGAACTTAAAAAACAGACTCCCTGCATTTTCCATTTTGAGAACTTCAGTGGGGCCCAAATCTATTTTATACTACCAATAATTTAGCCATGAATTCTCCTGAGGCATTTCATATGGAAATGATAAAGCTTCTTGGCACACCCCCAGTGGGTCGGGGGGATATAAATACACCAACTGCTTCGTCAGCAGGAGGTGCAACCCCTTCAAAGACGAGGTGTCGCACACGGACCCCTACCCTCTGAGACCCGGATGCGACACCTACTTTGGTGTATCTTCCTCTTCCCCTTCCTTCTTTCTGTCTCCTTCTATTTTCCCTCCCACCGTTGACCTCATGTGCAGCAAAAAGAGAGGTCGCCCATCCCACAGAGTGGGCGCCTCGTTGACCGTGAGGTGCGACCCGTGCGGAGGGAAACCGGGTACCTGGCGGTTGAGGTGAGATCAGTCCATGGACTGTCCCTCGCCAACTCACTTCTTTGGCCCAGGTTTTCCTCTTAGACGGGAGGGTGGCACGACCCTTGCCACTCAATCGGTTGAGAGCTGAAACCCCATCAAGCCCTGGGTCAATCATGACGGGAGGGTCCTGTACTTTCTCGTTGAGAGTATAGCTCCGGGGTAGCCCTGGCACAGCTCCGGTTATCCGAGCAATGTGTCCCCTTGGTGGGCTCGGTGGTGGGAGGGGAGCCCCGGAGTCGAATCAACCATATAATTCATATGGAATCAAAAACAATAAAAGACCCTTCCCCGGCTCCTAAAGTTCATAAAAAGTCTCGGCTCGCGGAAGCGAGTGAGGCCAATGAGCTGAGCAAAAATTCGAAATATGGTAAAAGGACCTTTACCAATGTCTCCTTCCTCCCTCCCCCCAAGGAGCTTCCGAGCAACCGTACGTGGCCATCTCCAGTTCAAAAGACGCACAAAGAAAGATTACTGATCTGAACCTCTTTAAGACAGGAGATGCACTTCGGAAAGTTCTGGGATGCATCCCCACATGTGTACAGAAACTTTCCAGTGGTGCACTCCTTGTCAAGTGCGCAACTGAGGACGGAGTGACCAAACTCCTGGATACCACGACCTTCGGCGGTATTCCATGTAAGTACGAGAGTTACCAGAAATTTAACCGCTCGAAGGGCGTCGTCCGCAGCCATGAGCTGAAAGGCTGCTCCATGAAAGAGATTGTGGAGCACTGTGAGGGAGTGGTCGGAGCCCGCCGGATTACTCTTCGGCGGGGGGAGACTACTATTGAAACAAACACGATTGTCCTCACATTCGAATCGTGTCGCCCTCCAGCCACCGTTCGGGCATCTTACTTGATTCTTGACGTACATCCCAATGTTCCAAACTCTCTGCGCTGTTTCAAGTGTCAGAAGTTCGGCCATAGCTAGTCACGGTGCCGTCACACTGCCGTGTGTCCTCGTTGTGGCAAGACCAGGCATTCTGAGAAGGAAAGCAAGGCTAGTCCTTGTTGCCCCAATTGCCACAGCACACAGCTTTCAGCAAAAAGTGCCCGACTTGGCTTCAAGAACGCGCCATCCAAGAATACAATGCGTGGAACGGCTGCTCCTTCCAGGAGGCCCGTAAGGCTGTCTGCCCGCCAATCATAACCCCAGTCAATGGCCGGTCATACTAAAAGGCAGCCCAGGTAGTCACAAGGTCTGCAACTGCAAGTAATTCTACTGCCGACCTCCCAAAGCCCGCGATCAACAGGCAAGTCTCTGTGCCTAAAAACAAAAAGCCCCCTCCTATCCTTGTGGCAACCCCCTATAAGGTGCCACTTTCTAACCGCTATAGGATTCTAGGGGAGGACGGCGAGGACTCTTCCTCCACCCCCTCTTCTCCCCCTCAACCCCCTCTTATCACTTTTTCTTCATCTTCCTCTTCTTCTTCTTCCACCTCACAGCCCATCCCTCTGATGGAGTGTGAGGTGGTCCCTCGCCCCTCTCCCCAGCCCCCGCCCTTCCCAGCCCCCTCAATCTGCTCCACCTCCCCCTACCCCTCCAGCAGACAAACCCCTGCCTATGGACGCGGGCAGCTCCGACCCCCCTCCCCGGCCTGACACCTGGAAAAGCGGAGTCCGTCACTCCTCTAAATCTCAGGACGGCAACCTAGAAAACTCTCTGCCTCCCCCACAAAGAAGAGTCAGGGTGTAAATTCGAAGCTGGGGCCTTTATGCTCCAAAAACAAAATTAAAAAGACATAATGACGGTCTTGCAATGGAATGCTGGCGGAATCCGACCTTCCATTGCAGAATTGCAACATTTACAGGCCACAATGTGCCCACGTGTGGCCTGTATACAAGAAACAAAATTCGCCCCGGCTTCAACCATAGACTTAAGAGGATTTACTGCGTATCATCACATTCACACGGAGAACCAGATTGATTCTGGTGGTACCACCATCTACACCGACAACAACACACTCCACAGACAAGTACATCTTAAGACGACCCTCTAGGCTATTGCCGTGCAGGATATAAATGCAAGGTCATTGACCAACAGTCAAAGAGAAGTGAAGTGTTCAGTTTACAACGTTTTGAAATTGATATCTGCATGATTTCCATTTTGTGACTACCGGGTATGCCTACACCCCCCCTCCCCAGTGTACTCCTCAAGTAAAGTTCTCCAACTAATTACACTATACTTCTGACCGTGCCTAACGAAATAGCCAATAACTGCAATACAACCCTTTCACTGCTACACCCGTTTCATAAATTTATCTAAAAATGTATACAGATCAGATCGAAGCAGCGAAGAGATTATTAACTAGTCTTTTACGCTTTTTTTGGGTCAACAACAAAATTACACAATTCATAATCCTACCCCGTACAGCAGCTGTCAATAACTTTATTTCACCAGGTGAGTTTGATCTGACTGTCCTCACGACGGGAACAATTTACCCCGGAAATTCTGTCCGCCTGCAGATCAAGTATTCATATGCCGAGCGAGTGAGAGAATCATTTACTGCCAGGTATAATAGTCACTGATCAGACAGCGAAATCCGTACATCAATGGAACAAACACATTTCCGAAAAAGTCTCACTTTACATAATTGTGAAATAAAACTAAATGTAGATTAGCTCCAAATTAATTTTAAACCTAAAGGCTTGGAAATCGAATGATATTACATTTGCATTCATTTAAAGAAAAACAAAAACCCAACCGAAAAAAAACAACAACAAAAAAACAACAACAAACAAACAAATTAACAAGCACAAAATAACCTAACAAAGTGTGATAGTCTTGACTATCTGTACGTGTAGCTTACTATAAGAGCGTCTAATTTTGTTATCGTTCGTCTCTTTCTTCACCAATCGTATAACATAGAACTCGGTTCCATGATCATCTAGCACCCGATGACATGCTTATGAATGAAATCGGAACTATTATTATTATTATTATTATTATTATTATTATTATTATTATTATTATTACTATTATTATTATTATTATTACTATAACAATCGTACTACTACTACTACTACTGCTACTACTACTACTACTACTACTACTACTACTCTACTACTACTACTACTACTACTGCTACTGCTGCTGCTGCTACTACAACTACTACTACTGCTACTACTACTACTACTACTACTACTACTACTACTACTACTACTACTACTACTACTACTACTACTACTACTACTACTACTACTACTACTACTACTTCTACTACAGTACTACTACTACCACTACTACTACTAATTATGCCCTTTCTTCCCCCTACCCCTCTCTCACTCTCACACACTCACAGACACACACAGACACGCACACACACACACACACACACACACACACACACACACACACACACACACACATACACACACACACACTTTTGCTCTCTCTCTCTATCTCTCTCTGGTCTGTCTGTCTGTCTGTCTGTCCGTCCGTCTGTCTGTCTGTCTGTCTGTCTGTCTGTCTGTCTGTCTGTCTGTCTGTCTGTCTGTCTGTCTGTCTGTCTGTCTGTCTGTCTGTCTCTCACTCACCCCCCCCCTCTCTCTCACTTCCTTATTTTTTCTCGTCCGACATTCTCTCTACTTTCCCCAGTTTCACGTTCATTATACACATGTACTGATTAAGACTTTAAGAACTTTTAGTTTATATTATTAAGTTTACAAATTTGAATGTTTGGGAGGTGGGCTTCCGACCCCATGCATAGGGCCAACTCGGGCTGAGAGAGATACAGCATAATATCACGTGAAGCATGTCAGTGTCGGAGACGCTGGATTCAGATGGGTGGTCACTTGGGTTTGTTCTTGAGCAAGATACGATAGCCCGAGCTTTGAAAAAATAAAAGAAAGAAAAAGAGAGCAAACAAACAAACAAACAAGCAAACAAGCAAGCAAACAAGAACCCACCATACTAAAACAGTAAACACATTTTTTTAAATTCAGGAGGGTGTACATTGGCGACCAGTAATGGCATATTTGTAAAGTTATATGCATTGGTCCAATGTATTGTTGTGTAGTTGATATTCTTTGTTTGATACTTTTTTGAGTTTGATTAATGTAATTTATGTGTATGCATTTTAGCCGTCGTAACTCAAATTTCCCCACGAGAAGCAAAATAAATGTTATTATATTCATTATTCATTTATTCCTTTATTCACCAAATGATCGATTGATCGATTGATTTATTGATTGATTGATTCCTGACAAATTCTTCAGAATCAAAACAGTGAAAGGCCAAAACCGGGAGTGGTCTTGCCAGATTCTTAAGGAGTTCGAGGAGCAGCTGGAGATTAAATCAGCCGGGGACATAGAATACTACGCCCGGACCTTCTCCTTCACTTTCCCGGTCATTAAAAAAACAAACCATTTATTCTTTTATCTTCACCATCTGTTACTTCTTCCTTTGCCTCTCTTTCTCTTTTAGTATAGTGGTATATCCAGGGAGTGGTGGCCTTTACTTGTCCATCTATGCTAAACTGCACCTATGCCGGTTTGTCTTAGCTTAATTTAGCCTTTTATCTTATTATGTTATAAGGATGTTGTCATGGTAAAATCATTTGCTTGTCAAAATTAAGATATTGAAGAAACCAACATTTTTTCCGCCTTTTTGGACAATTTGATCTAGGTTTTTTTTTCCTGCTCAGAACCTTTTATGTCCATTCAAAAACACATTTAAGTGTGGATCTTAGCCAAAAACGTTGGTCAAAGGCATAAAAAAGTAAATTTGCAGGGACTCTTCAGCAGCCAGCAATGGAAGTCACCAAATTTTGGCGGCCAATTTCTCGCTAACTTAACCTCTAACAAGAGGTGGCCTCCGTCTCCCTCAGTGGTAATTTTTCTTAATGACAGATACAATACTTGACCCTTTTCCTCCTACTTCTCCTCCCCCTCCTCCTTCTCATCCTCCTCCTTCTCCTCCTACAACAACAACAACAACAACTACAACAGCAACACCACCATCACCAACAACGACGGCAAGAAGAAGAAGAAGAAGAAGAAGAAGAAGAAGAAGAAGAAGAAGAAGAAGAACAACAACAACAACAACAACAACAACAACAACAACAACAACAACAACAAGGGTCTTCGTTTGCACATACGTGTATTTATCAACATCTACTTGCCCTCGTGTCGCTTTATTAGTCTAATTTGTACATTCTGACCGTGAACCAGATGCAGCGGTTGGTGAGATACGTTTCTCCCCCCTTCCTGGGGTATTTGATAATGACACTTAGCGATCAAAATTTGTAATTTTATTAATTCTAAAGTTCCAAATCATGAAAACCCGTCTCTGCCATGTTCTTAGTCTTAGGAATAATGAATTCTATATATGAAATCACACTTCATTTGATTAAATGTTGAGGTCTGCAAGTATGCAGTTTCTTCTTAAAAGGGATGCAAAGATTAGGCCACCATAATCCTATTTAAATATTATAGGTTTTAGGCCCCAACACTGCTACAGACTAATTGTGATACACGTAGTTTGAAGATTTTTCCATTGATACTGAGGAGGGAACTTTTGATCCAGCACTTCAATTACAGCTACTGGGTTTACTTTTACTTTGGGGAAAGGGGGGGGGGGCGTTGACCTGTCGCTACGGTGACCACGTTCTAAAGAGATCGGGGTTTTAGAACACCGATTTCTGTTTGTCATACGTACACTGGCTAGTCCTTTTGCTTTATCTCGATGTGGCAGAGCGAATATATCGGTAAAGAGTACATCCTCCTTCACTAGCCTTTTTTGCAAGTCTTTTTTGAATAACATATATAAATATATATATATATATATATATATATATATATATATATATATATATATATATATATATATATATATTAATATTTCCCTATGCGTATCCCTTATTTGCATACTAAACTATTGCCACCAGATCGCTGAAGCCTATTACGTGGACGTGCAGTCATCGACAAGTCACGCTTCAACATATGTGCACGTGATGGAACCCCTTATCAGTGACAGTTGCTTTTTGAATTCTCGTATCATGTCGCCTTCAACGAATTTGCATGGTGAGTACTCTGTAGCAAACTGTGCGTCTTCGTGTGTTTTTTTTGTGTGGGGGGGTTGGTTTTGTTTATGTTTGTGTGGTATAACTTAATTTAGACCCCAATTTTCTTCAATACGTTATTCTCGTCTTTTGACCATGACATAACGTAATGTGGTCCCACACTGAGTGGAGACACCGGACGTGCGTACTTGGACAAGTAAGTTCCCAACGGAGGGCTCGAGCTTACTCTTACTGTTGTTTTGCTTCTCCACTACTTCTTGCGTTACCCATTAGGCTAACAAGGATGTGACAAATCACAGAACGGCCAGCCGGCCTCTGTGGTGTAGCAGTTAGACACTTCGCCTTGGCACACAGAAGACCTGAGTTCGACTCCAGTGTGTGTGTGTGTGTGTGTGTGTGTGGAGGGGGGGGGTTGGGGGGGCATTTTTACTGAGCATTTTGGTCTTTATGCTCGGACGTTGTCTGTCAGTGTGGGTTGGATCTGGCAGGGTCGCAGCCCACATATCTAAATCATGTTGATTTAGGAAGTAAAAACAACTTCCGTTTTTTAAAGAACGAATTAATTCTTTGTAATACATGAAATGATAACAACAAGCGTGACGTGCACTTGTTTTGTTAACTATATAGGCATACTACTTACACGTACTTATTTTGACATCTATTTAGAAATTATTATTACAACATCGAAAGGGGCACAACGCAATCGTTTTCAGGTAAGTTTTCGTGCTGATGTGGGTCTAGTTGTTAGGTTGTCGAGCTCGCAACCGAAAGTCATGGGTTCGAACCCCGTCACAAACTGGACGTTGTATCCGTGGGAAGGTACATCATACAACTTTTCTGCGTTTCACTCAGGTGTGGATGAATACCCAGCTACAGACGTCGAAAGATTTTGATAGTTTGTTAGAGTTTGATTTCGAAGTGTGCTTTCCGGGAAGTCGAGAACTTTTCTACGTGCTTTAAGGTCTGCTGGCGTAATACAAGCTGTGAAGCGTATAGATCATGCTGGAAGAAAGCATGGATCATCACCATCAGAAATACCCCCCGTGGGTCGGGGGGATATAAATAGACCCACTGCTCCGCCAGCAGGAGGTGCAACCCCTTCACTGGCGATTTGTCGCCCATGGACATCTACGCTCAGGTGCACATGGGCGACACTTGCTTTGGTGTATCGTCTGTCTTCCTTCTTTGTTCGTCCTTCCCCGAGCTGACCGGGGAATAAAATAAAAATAGTTGGCTGTCCCATCAACAGGGGGTGTAACCCCCCCCCCGCTGGTGGGATGCCACTCGTACGTCACTAGCTCTCTGACGTAGGGGTGGCATCTTTTGTCCGCTCTTGTCTTCTATTCATCTATCTTTCTTTCCGTTCTGTCGAACGAAGGTCCGGTCCAGCAAAGAATAGACCCCAAATTACCCCCAGTGGGTCGGAGGGATATAAATAGACCCACTGCCTCGTTATCAGGAGGTGCAACCCCTTAAAAAATGAGGTGTCGAGCACGGACCCCAACCCTCTGGGACCCGGATGCGACACCTACTTTGGTGTATCTTCCTCTTCTCCTTCCTTCTTTCTTTCTTCTTCTATCTTTTCCCCCACCGCTAACCTCATGTACAGCAAAAAAGAGAGGTCACCCATCCCACAGAGTGGGCGCCTTGTCGACCGTGA